GTAAAATTTAATCATGTAAATTAAAAAGTTAAATGATAAAATGTTTGTTTTAGTAGTTGTTAGCAGTGCTAGTAACGCTTTATTATAACGCTAAGCAAGAAGAAGCGCCCACTTACACTAGATCGGGAGTCCAGTAGCCATAATATCAGCTCCGCCATCCTCGTCGGGTGCGAGTCTGTCATCTGACACCGACGCTGCTGCGGCGTCGCTGTTGTGTATGACACCTGTAAACATACGATCTTATCCGTGGTTAATTAGCCGTTACCCCGTACAAAACAGTACAATTCAACGAGTATACCTGTAACGTTGATACCTTGAAGTTTGCTTTTGCTGGCTGGACGTCTTAGCCTCTATCAGTGCGGGTCCACTCAAAGCTCCATAATATAGCGCTCCACATCCTCTCCGTGTGAGTCTGTCATCTGATGCGCGCTGCTGCTGCCGTCGCTGTTGTGTATGACACCTGTAAACAATGATCTTACCCGTGTTAATTACCGTTACCCGTACAAAACAGTACAATTCAACGACATATACCTGCAACCTTTGATACCGCGTCTTAGAGTGTGTGTAGTACGATCCCTCGACGAAGCTAGCTGGAGCTCGTCTGCTCTATCTGGAACAATACAGAATGATTTCGAGTAAAGCTAAGCTGAACAAGTTCAAACACGGTAAACACGATACAATTTAATGACGTATATACTTACGACCCGTAGCTGAGTGTACCGCTGCTACAATAAAAACGTTAACTGTTACAAATGCTCCTCCTTATATACCATTCAGGCCAGCGTGGTTTTGCACACGAATTGTTACACGTGGACACGGCGTGGTCAAACATGGTCGGCGTGTGCACGTGGTCAAGGCTAAACTTCTGACATCCACGCCAGCAAAGGTGACTCTATGAATGTCAAGTGGCGGCAAGCTTCATGTGCACGTGGACACGCCGTTGGGGAAAGCTCAGTGAATCTCCCAAGGTCACGCGCGTGTGTAGGCTGAAGCTGCCAACCTGACATCCGCAATTGCTAACTACTGAACGGGCCAGGCTGCGTCAAGCTTTGCGCACCCCACGTTGTATGATGTTATCAGGAGCGTATAATATCTCTATATTATACACTCCTGATGAAATGTATAATCCCCCTCATGACGTGTGTATAGTGTGCAGACATCACGACAGAACCCAGAATCGTTATACATTAAAGGGCACCTTCCTTATAGCCTACTTTACTATATACGTCTTGCCATACGACTAGCTTGCCATCATAACATCATTAACAATCCTTAGCAATTTACATCCCGTGTTTCCCGTACTGTTTAGCTACGGATCCGGTTTCATATACCTTTTTTTTTCATTACACTCATTCTCTACTTACTCTCTAGGCATGCCGCACCCTAAATTAAATTAATTGCCCTATGTCGGCCCTATGTCGGCCCTATGTCATTTCCTTTGGGCGACAGGTCGCGAACGGGAGAAATCACGAGCGATATTTCGCTTTTAACGCCTTTTCTCCTCAGATTATATATATATATTGCTGATAAATGATAATTAAATATATATTTATGTGTTGTGTGTGTGTGTGTGTGTGTGTGTGTGTGTGTGTGTGTGTGTGTGTGTGTGTGTTTGTGCGCGCGTGCATGCGTGCGTGCGTGCGTGAGTGTGCGTGTGTGTATATGTAGGTGTGTGCGTGCGTATGTGTGTGTGGTGTGTATGTGTGCGCGCGTGTGTATGTGTACGGTGCTGTTATGGTTGCGTTCGTGTGTATGTGTGCGTGCGTGTGTATGTGTGCGTGCGTATGTATGTGTTGTGTGGCGTGCGGCGTGTGCATTTGTGCAATCGCGTTCAATGTGTGCGTGAGTATATATGAGTGCGGGCGTGTGTAAGTGTGCGTGCTGGTGTGTGTGCGTGCGTATTGTGGTATGTGTGTGTGTGCGTGCGTGCGTGCGTGGTGTGTATGTATACCTGCGTATCTGTGTATGTGTGTGTGTGCATGCGTGCGTGCATTATTATTCTATAGCACTCTAGGCCCGTGTACAGTATTTGCAGGCAAATTTGACCACCTGTTTGCAACCATCAAAGTTATTTGGAAAGCCTGTATGGCATAAGTTCCCGAATTGCACGACAATAATTATTGCTGATATAAAGAAAATCGAGGAATAGTAATTACACATCAAATTGAACGCTTGATTAAACGTTTAGGAGTGAATCCGGTGCCTGCATGCCAGAGCGCATGTTGCGTGTATAGCGTGTAACGTCTGTGCGTGTCGCGTGTGTGCGTGTAGCGTGTGTGCGTGTGTGCGTGTAGCGTGTGTGCGTGTAGCGTGTGTGCGTGTGTGCGTGTGTGCGTGTAGCGTGTGTGCGTGTGTGCGTGTAGCGTGTGTGCGTGTGTGCGTGTAGCGTGTGGGTGTGTGCTTTGTGCGTGTGCTGTGCGTGAGCTCAAGTTGGTTGAGTACGCGTAGTAAATCGTAGGTATTCTAAGGCTAGTAAATTGAAGTCACACTCCTTCCCTATTGTCTACTTCTGATGTATATATATATCTTAAACCTACAATATGTAGTCATCGGGTGTAAAATAAAACAGCCGTTATGTAGACAGATTCGTTATGTCGACATTCGTATGTCTAATTAGGTAGACATATTTGCTGTCTACCTAATGTTTAGCATGCTATAACTTCGTTTTCTTCATGAAATTTATAATTATAGGTTCTAGTAGAGGTGTCCTCACTCTATTGACTTGTAATATATTTAAATATGATAAAGCTTAAATGTTGTTAAATGTGTGAACACATTTTCTAAAAGTGTTATATATACGTCCGTACGTAGAATCAGTAGACGTAGAATGTGTATATCCATCTTTGAATAGTTTTAAGAAATATCTGTCTATACCCCCTAACAGCTTAAAGTTTTGTGTGTGTATATGTGCCGCTACAGAGCCGCGCGCATGTGTATGTGTATATCTATGTGTGTATGTGTATATCTATGTGTGTATGTGTATATCTATGTGTGTATGTGTATATCTATTGTGTGTATGTGTATATCTATTGTGTGTATGTGTATATGTGTGTATATCTATTGTGTGTATATCTATGTGTGTATATGTATATGAATATGTGCCGCTACAGAGCCGCGCGCATGTCTATGTCAGCATCGTCGATGTCGTCGTCAGCTTCACGTGTGGAAGGTGTGCGCGTCGTAGTGTAATGTACGTCGTGTCTGTACGTCGTAGCGTCAAGCATGTTCCGCTATGTTACGCAAAGTTATGACCAAGTGTGACAGTGATAGAAACAGCAACAAATGGGAGTAAATCATTACGTGGCTAAATAAATAGCCCTATATTCACAACTTTGCAAGATTCACAATTAAGTGTACAAGAATTCAATAAAGTTCACAATAAATCAATGAATTAATATTGAAGTTTACAGAATTCAATAAAGTTCACAATAAATCAATGAATCAATATTGAAGTGTACAAATCGTCTGCTTGTCTATCCGCCCATCCGTCTTGTCTCTGCTCTCTCCCCGAGTGGTAGTGCCGTGTGTGGCTCAATGCACAACATGGAAAAAAATAAACGAAGCACATTACATGTATGGCAGTACAATGTTGTTTACGACTCACCCGTTCTCTCCCGAGGACAGACGATAGTGGATGGATGCTGGAATCTCGTCTGCTTGTCTATCCGCCCATCTGTCTTGCCTCTGCTATCTCCCCGAGTGGTAGTGCCATGTGTCGCTCATGTCGAGGGAAAAAAATTGAACAAAAACATTACAATGTGTGGTAGTACCTGTCCCAGAAAACGTATGTATAATATATACGTAATGTATATGCGTAAGAATATGTATAATACAAGTATGTATAATACTCACCCCGCTCACCCACCACCTCGTTGACTTGACCCACCACCACCCCTTGCCCGGGCAAGGCCAGGATGACTGGGATGACTCGATCACTCTGGAAACATTGAACAGAAGAGCAGCAAACAACGAAGCCAAATCACATGGAGCAATACGTAGAATGTAAAAGTAGTTAGTAGTTAGTATGTTAGAATGTTAGTGTTCTAGTAGTAGTAGTTTATTATATAACGCTAGCAAGAAGAAGCACCACTTACACTAGATCGGGAGTCCAGTAGTACAGTAGTCCTCTCTTTCTCTCTCTTCTGCACGAGGTGAGGCTGCATATCTTACCAAACTACAGGCCATCAGTGCGGGTCTCCACTCAACGCTCCACAATATTAGCTCCACAATCATCTCCGGTGTGAGTCTGTCATCTGATGCTGGCGCTGCTGCTGCCGTCGCTGTTGTGTATGACACCTGTAGACATACGATCTTACCCGTGTCAATTACCGTTACCCGTACAAAACAGTACAATTCAACGACATATACCTGCAACCTTTGATACCTTTGCTGCGGACTGTCTCTAGCCCCTATCAGTTCGGGTCCACTCCATAATATCAGCTCCACCATCCTCTCCGGTACCTGCAACCTCTGATACCGGTCTTAGAGTGTGTGTAGTACGATCCTTCGACGAAGCTAGCTGGAGCTCGTCTGCTTTATCTGGAACAATACAGAATGATACAAAATCATAAAGTAATAATAAGTAGGTGCAGGGTTTGGATCACTCTTAGTCTGACTCCTCTTCTTTGGCCGGTTCAGCATTGTTAGACCATTGCTGACCTCGACCTTAGAATCACAGGAGTACGCAAGCCCCCACACGACGGCAACGTGGTGATCCATTGTGGGGGACCTTAACTGTCGGCAATAATAGGTGAAAGAGAGTATAGAAACATTAAGAATTTGGTAGTAAATAGATTTCGTATTTAGTTAGCATTATATTTTATTGAAACGCTTCAAGTGCCTGGGGAGACATCAACAGACAACAGCTGATCAAACAGACAATTTGATTTTGTCATTTTTATTTGATTTTGATAGTGATAACCTCATCTAATACACAGGCAAACACTTAAAACCCACGCACGGAGATATATGATTAAGTATCATTGTTACCTGGTAAAGGTGGTGCAAATGAGCCCTGTGGTTGCGATCCATGATTTCTAGTATAATTCTGCTGAAATTGCCTAGGATCAGCCATCTTGAACGTGAAAAATCAAGTACGGGCAATGTAACGTTGATATCTTCGCTTACGCCGCTCTTAAGACGACGAAACTTTGCGATCACAACAGTGACGAATTTCGCTCACTAACAACTATTTTTTCTTACACAAAATTGGTTAGTTACAGACAAAAACAAGGGTGTTTTCGGCGTTCGAAGTTCACATAGTAGTTAACGGAAGTGCACCCTTGACGCATGCGTACAACGACTGGAAATCGACGTGGCAAAGACTCCCACAATGCAACGTTCCTGAGATATCGCTCATGCACCGGATATTTGCCTCCCTCCCACCTCTACTATCTCTATCTCTCGTTCTCACTCTCTCACTCGCTTACCTTCTCTCTCTCCTCTCGCTTACCTTCTCTCTCTCTATCATTCACGCACACGCACATTCGCTTTGGTTCAGAATTTACGTGCGCATGTGCGTGGGCGTGCGTGTGTGCGTGCGCATGAAGGAGAGTTTCTGTCGTGTTGAATCTGATGTAAGGCTTATTCAGATTATCATTTTCGCTTTCATTGAATTTTGTCGTGCATGCAGTTGCAAATATAATCTATATCAGAAGTAGATATCCTATTATGTACTTCTGTTATATATGTAGTTTTCACTGCTGTAGTCTTAAATGCGATGCTAATTATTAGTCATCTCACTTGAAGCTCATTGCTACCCGGATTGTAGATACAATAATGTAACCCAAACCCAAGAGGATAGGTTGGGATTTATCCCCCTATCCTCTTGGGTTTGGGTTACATTATTGTATCTACCCGGATTGCTACACTATACTGCATTATTGAAGTAGCATTTCTCCTATATTCTATTTTTTTTCTGAAACATAAACACGTCATATTTCGGTCGCGAAAACAGCCGAGGCAACGCCGGGTCTTCCATTACAGTATATGAATAATATAAACCGAATGAACTTATTTAATGAGTATATGAATA